GTCCCGTGACTATATGTATATATAATTATAGTTGACACACATTATTATTCAACATCAGCTTCAGATATTTAAAAAAAGAAAAAAAAAAGACTTGTACTAGAGGTACACATTTGAATGTCTCCAGAATATAACTAAATTGGGAGCCATGGGTGTTATTAGGTCACATTTTGAGTCAAAGTGAAGTAGAAGGGATGAGCATATAGGACTAAGCACAAAATGCTTCCCAGGCTTCTGGCTCAAGCTCCCTACTCTGGGCAGATCTCTATCCATATGTACCAAGCCTCCATATTAAGTCAGCAGTGGCTGAAATCCTCTGTTTGGCCCTCTTACTATCTACTTTGGACCAGGATTCTGCTGTGGGGTACCAGAGAAACACCAATATTTTCACCACGATAATTAAACAAGACATATCCCAGCATAATTGCCCAGGAATTTTTCTTCTTAATTTTATTCCACGAAGGTCTGTTTATCCCATTTTTATTCCCTGACCCAAATCTTTTTCTCATCAAACCACGACATATTGTAGTTTGCCCAATGTCACAATAATAAGTAAACGGTATACCATTTTTTTTGAGGGGTAATTTCAATAGCATGGATTAACAATGTCTGACATATCAATATCAGATTAGCATTCTCTTTTAGGGAAATTACTTGGAATAATAAATGCATAATGGATATAATATGAGATTGAGCATTTTGAGGCAAACACTCACATTTGATTAGTCTTATATTTTTGGAATCGTAAAATAGTGCCTGGCCGATAACATGTGCTCACCTCATAGAAATATCTATTTATGGGCTGGCCGAGTGGCTCAGTTGGTTAAGAGCTCGCTCAAGAGTTTGAGCTCTGAGCAACAGCAGTTCGAGTCCCGGCCCGAGCTGAGCAGCCGCTGAGCTGCCAACAGATGGCAGGATGGCTCAGCTTGGAAAAAAAAAAAAGAAATATCTATTTATGGTTCTATAAAACTGTATCCTGCAGACTTTCCAAAAAGGGAGAACCTGATAAGAAACAATATATTGGGACCTGATAACAAATGGGTATAGATATCAAGAGGCTGCTACTCGCCCCAGGATTCAGATTATACCTGAAAAGCACCTACATAGCCTAAAATATTTAATGTAATGCTCAATGCACTGAATTCAATTAAATATAAGGACATATTCACTATATTTATTCTAATAAGTTCTCACACCATCAAATATGCAATGGAATATTGATATTTACCACAGACTCACCTCCACAACTTCTGCGTTATACATGGCCACTACTGGCACTGGCCCAAGCCAGAGTTTAAACAATGGCCTGTGTCGGTTTTCTTCAGTGTAAGAAATTAGCTGCTGAAAAAATTCTAGGAGAAAATATTTAATTTTAAGTAAGTTTCTTATTGTGTCTTTTGGGTGTTTTACTTTTTCACTTTGGGCGACTCAGTATCTCCCAGGTCTCTCAAATCTTAAAGGTAAAACACAAGGTCCCTATTTAATGATTTAATGAATGAATTATGAGAGCAATTTAATTTAATTATGAGTGAGATAGCACATATGAACCGACCTGGTTAACTGTGAAATGCCAAACACTGGGGATTCTTGTGGTGAGCCTTAACACGTGCCTTTCCCAAGAACACTGAAGCTGTTAAATTTCTCTGGATCTTGCCTCAGGCTACCCTTTATAAGTAGGAAAACCTGTCCTGTCTCTCCATCCCTGATAGATAGATGCTTCCCTTCCACTCTCTCCAAAACAATATTGAGGTTCCTCAAACAATTGAGAATAGAACTACCATATGATCCAGACATTCCTCTTCTGGGTATTTATCCAAAGAATATGAAAACACTAATTCAGAAAGATATACGAGTATATGCCCCATGTTCTTTGCAGCACTATTTAAATAGCCAAGATACGGAAGCAACCTAAGTGTCCATCAATAGGGGATTGGGTAAAGATGTGGAACATATATACAATGGAATATTATTCATTGTATATTCTTTTCTCTTTTGTTGTAAATTAATTGACCATATTTGCATGAGTTTATTTCTGGGCTCTCAATTCTGTTCCATTGATCAATGTGTATGTTTTTATGCTAATTCCATACTGTTTTCATTACTATAGCTTCATAATATAATTTAAAATTAGGACTTGTGATGTCTCCAGCTTTGTTCGTCTTTCTCAAGATTCCTTTGGCTATTCAGGGGTTTTTGTAGTTCCAAATAAATTTTAAGATTGCTTGTTCATTGTGTGTATGTGTGTATAAAATGCCATTGGAATTTTGATAAGGATGGCATTGAATCTGTAGATTGCTTTCAGTAGTATGGACATTTTAACAATGTTAATTCTTCCTATCCATGAGCACGGAATATCTTTCCATTTATTTGTGTCTTCTTTAATTTATTTCATCAATGTCTTATTGTTATCAGTATATAGATCTTACATCTTCTTGGTTAAATTTATTTCTAGGTATTTTATTCTTTGTGATTCAATTGTAAATGGGACTGTTTTCTCAAGTTCTCTTCCTGACAGTTCATTATTAGCATAAAGAAATGCAACTGATTTTGTACATTAATTATATATCCTGCAACTTTACTAAATTTGTTTATTAGTTTTAACACCTTTTTGGTGAAGTCTTTAGGATTTTCTACATGTACAATCATATCATCTGCAAAGGGAGAGTTTTACTTCTTCCTTTCTAATTTGGATGCATTTCTTTTTCTTGCCTAAATGCTCTGCTAAGATTTCTAATACTATGTTAAATAAAAGTAGTGAGAGTAGGCATCCTTATCTTGTTCCTGATCTTAGAGGAAAAACTTTCAACATCACTTCTATGGAATTCTTGCCCAAACTGCATAACCTAAACCTTATGAGAAAAACAACAGACAAACCCAAACTGAGAGACATTTTACAAAATACCTGACCAACACTCAGCAAAAGTATCACGGTCATGACAGACACAGAAAGACTGATCATAGTCTAAACGATCACAGATTAGAAAACACAAATATTGAGGAACATAACACAAGGAAACACAACTACTAAACGTCAGGTGAGATCTTCAATCGAATCCTGGAACAGGAAAGGAAAATTACTAAGGAAAGTTTTAAAATTCAAATAAGGGCTATCTCTTTGTTAGGAACATCACACAAATATTAACTTTCTGGCTTTGATAATTATACTAACTATATGAAATGTCACCATTAGAGAAGGTTGGGTAGATGGCATATGTGAACTTTCCTTGTACTATTTTTACAAATTTTCTAACATTATTTAAGTGAACAAAATTTTAAAAGTAAAGGGAGTTTTATTTTCCTGAAGGTAGAGAATAAGAAGTAAGCTGGAAGAATATTAAAAAAATATTTTGTTAGTTGGAGAAGAACACATGCACACAAATATATAAATAATAAGGCTTGTGTTTATATTTTCTTTGACATAGGGAAAAAAATCTTATAGCCGGGAGTTGGAATTTGGTTTGGAAATGTGACAAAAACGTGGAAGAACAATCATAGTGAATATAAGAAAGAATTATGGAACTAAAAGGAATTACTGAACAGCATTGAGGACAATGTAAGGATTACATAAGGAAATTTGGCAGCATGGCTGGAGTTGTGTTTTATAGGACAATAACACTAATAATGTGTGTGAGATCAGTGAATAACTTGGGTATGCTGGGACCACAGGAAGCTTCTGGGAGTGAAAAAAAGTCTGGGACTCGATGCAGCCAGGTTTAGAAGCCCTGGCCCTGTTTTATGGCTGGTCCTTGTGTTGAGTATGAGGAAATGGTGGCCATCAATCCCAATTACAATACTCAAGTAGTAAGGAAAACTTGGGAGTCAACACTTTCTATGTTGATATCTGTGAGGCCTCTATCTAGGGAATGCAGACTGGCATTAAGAGAGGTCCAATGATGACAAATCTCTCAGTCATGGAATACCATATTGGTGAGTGCCACCTGGGTGGAAACAGGACAGTAGCCAGGAACTGAAGGATTAGGACCCAGGGCCCAGACCTCAGACAAAAGACCTGGCAAAGATTAGACAGAGCCCAAGTAATTCAACGTGAGGTCAAAGGAAGGACTGGAGTCCTAGTTGGGGAACTGACTACACTTTAGGAAATGAGGCAGAAGCCTCATTACACTGCTTGCAAAATCTAGGCAGAGCGCAATAAAGAGAGGCAGGCTAGCTATGCCTCACCATAGTTAGATGAGAAGCACCATTATGAAAGTCACTAAATAAGTGAGGAAATTGTGCACAGTTTAGTAACTTGACCAATATCACAGGGCTAATAGAGGGTGGAATCTGGCTTTGTACCCAAGGTTATCTAGACCCAGAAATGTGCCATCTTAACCATTACATCATATGGCTTCAAAATGTTCTCCAGTCAAAACAATTAGGGAACTGCTGTGAAAAGAGCTTGGCCAAATCAACAGTATCAAAATAGCATGTGTCATGCTAATATACTGACTGCCTTGGTCTAAAACTTGGATCTGAAGATATCAGGTCCAATAGCAGGGAGCAGTTGGAGAAGGCAGGTGTTGACATATGGACTGGAAAAACAAGACATTAGAGTTTAAGAGTTTAGTTGGAAGTCAATTGCAATGCTCCAGGTGAGATTGCTGAGGCCAAACTTTGAATAGTAGCCACAAAATGAAAGTCACAACCTCTAGTATAAGAGACAAGGTTACTGAGAGCAGGGAATATATTTTAGAATGTTCTGATATCTCCAAGTTTGCTGAGCTCAATGCTGGGCACAAAGCCGGGCCTCAATAAATGTATGATTGACAACTAAAGAACTTTAATCAAGTTTCAGATAGTGATCTAGAAGCTGCATTAAATTTAATCTTTAAAACAACTCTGTAGGGCCGGCCGAGTGGCTCAGTTGGTTAAGAGCTCGCTCAAAAGTTTGAGCTCTGAGCAACAGCGGTTCGAGTCCAGCCCGAGCTGAGCAGCCGCTGAGCTGCCAACAGGTAGCAGGATGGCTCAGCTAAAAAAAAAAAAACAAAAAAAACAAAAAAAAACCAACTCTGTAATACAGTTTCCTTTTACAAGTAACGGGTAAAAAACTTTAACTTAGAGAGATTTAAACAACCTCTCAAACAACTTGGTTGCAAAGCTGGAAACTGAGCAAAGCTTTGTCTGATGCCAAAATCCAGTACTTGTTGATGGATTAAAAAGTCCCTTTATAAAAGACAGTATATTGTCATTCTCTTCACTCAGAAAATAACTCCAAGGAGAATTATTTTTAATAATCCAATCAACTCACAGTTTGTTTTTCAAACAGGTCTTATTCACCAGAAATTTCAATTCTTAGAAAAATCCATCGAAAGGATACGATGAGCCTTAAGTATATTGTTTCTTGCTGGGGGACCAGGGTGGGTCTATATTTCTATGCAATTATTTTTAATATATAAAGCCTTAAGGTAAAAGGGAAGATTACCTCTGCATTTAGTATTAGCCAAGATGATTTTTGCAAATGTAATTTTCATATCTAAACGTGTTGCTGCATCATTTATAACATGAGTCACATTGATGTTGGTTGGTGAAAAGTATTTGGATTTTTTCTGCCAGAAACATTTTCAGTATTTTGGTGACATTCTCCCATGAGGCCTCATCATAGTCCTATGAAGTTGAAATGATGTCAGTATTTTTATTTGGAGAAAGAGAAGTGGAAAAGAAATAATCCTTTAAGCTTTGGAGTTAATATTGAGCCTGTAAAACTACGATTAACAACCTGAGGGGAAATTGAATTCTGGTCCTTTTAAAACACATCATTTTAGGCAAATCTTTTCAGCTCTTGGTATCACAACTTATACACCCATGAAAGTGAAGTGCTAAGATCTAATTCACACTCCCTGATGGGGCATTGCAAATATCAGGTACTTTTGAGGCCTTTCTAACTTACAAAAGTGATTTTTTTCCCCATGAACAAAGCATATCACTTTATTCAAAAAATGACTTCAATAAAAAAATTCACTCTTTAATAAATAAGACTTTTGAAACTTGCCATATGAGTTTTAGGGAAGCCCCCGCCATCGTTAATTGTTATGTAACCTCCTTAAAATGGCTAAGGAATGAATAGTTGTGGTCAAGTCTTGTGATTGGGGGTGGGGAGTGGGGCGGAGTTCAAATGAATCTCTAGTCCCTTATTTGAGAGAGAAAGAGAGAGAAAGCTTTATGGTGTTTCTGCCCTTAAGGCTTTAATAGCAAAGGCAGAAGAAAAGACAGTGTTTTGAGATGGGAGCATCTCGGAATCGGGAAAAGGGGAAGAGAAAAAGCAGAAAGACAGGAGTTTAGAAATACTGTATTCTATAGTACACATAAAGAAAAAGTTCATATGGAACGGAGGTACTAGCAATTGTGTCAAGTGTCAAAAGGAAAACTGGATAGAATTGGGAAATCCATTCTCGAGGGGGTGATAGTCTCCTCTGTCTTAGCAGCCCGCACCTCAAGTCCTAGTGTAACAGGCTGATGAGGGCGAGGCGGCGGGTCGGGGTCTGGGCTCCGGCTCTGGCTCCGGGAGCAGCTCCTGCACGCCTAGGACTCGCTGCCAGGAGGGGCCGCGCGGGCTGGGAGCCCACCGGTCCTCGGGTTGGGATGCGGCGGGCCTGAGCGCGGTCCCTTACCTCTCGGGTCCGGCTTCAGGATCAACGAGTGTCCCACAAACGGGTAGGCGCCCCCGATGGTCGGCAGCGGCCTCATATGCAGCCATTTCTGCACATAGTTCGCCAGCATCTGCAGGAGGTTCAGGATTAGGGTGGCGCCCGCCAGGGAGGCCGCGCTCACCGCGCCCCAGAGCAGCAGCTTCTGCCCGAGGTGCACCAGCCACACAGCCATCATCGCGCCAGCAGTCCGTTTCGCACTCGGACAGAGACTAAAAGGACGGCAGCAGGGGCGGGGTGCTTGGGGCCGGAGGCGTGGTCTAGCCCTTGGAGTTCAAGTGTAGTGGTCCTGGGCGGAGTTCCCGGACTCCAGGAGGCGGGCGCGTCCTGGAGTGGGAAGAGGTATATCCCAGGCCTGTTCACTTCTTCTGCCGCTGGGCTAGGCACTAGCCTGGCCACCCACAAGCGGGACTTCCCGCTGCAGGGGCCGCTCTGCCCCTCGGGATTAGGTTGGAACCTCCCAGTCTCCGAGGAAAGCACCACAGGGGTCGGGAGCGGGTTTGTTATGGTGCAGGACAAAAGCCTACACAGTGCACACGGGGCTCCTTGTTTGGTTCAAGCAGAAAACGAAAGACCGGAAGACAGTTTCAGGGCTCTATAGAGTGTGCTGAAAGTAAAAGAAAGCAGTTAAGTGGAGTGGGGAGGAGGATGGGATGAAATTTAAGACAGCTTGGGGATGGAGAGGCGAGCTGGGGCCAGGGTGGGCTCATCTTCGGGTTACAGGACCCCGCTGCTGGGCACGGGAGAATTCCAGCTAAGGTGAGCTGTTTTAAAATTGAAATAAAGAGGCATCTGGTTTGAAAGTCAGCCTTTGACGTTACTTTTTTTCCCCTGGCTGGGTATCTAACCTCATGCTCCCTTGCGCAACCGCAACCCCAAGCAATAGTGTCTACTCAGCTGCGACTGGCTGCCTGAGGGAGGTGGGTTGCATCCTGACTTCCTTTCAGGGCCATTCAGAGCAGCTGTCCACTTTGATCTAGAGTAGCCTAGGGACACCAACCTCAGGGATACCTGTTAAAGTTTGCATCACGTCACTGATCGAGTCACGGGAGAGCTGAGTAATGTTGTTGTGATCCAAATGTTTTCCAAAAACACCCTGGAGACCAAGAAAAACCAGCACATAAGAGAACATCGGGGCGGGTAGGAGAGGATGAACGTCAAGGTCTCTGAAAGCGGTGGAGATAAGAGATGCTGGGAAAGGAGGGTTTGATAAAGAGACAGTAGTGATGGAGTGCTCTCAAAAGGAAACGATCACAGACCACTGAGAATGCGGAAGGAAAGTGGGAGGACAGTGAGAAGGATGCCCCTGACTACCGATTTCTCTCTTTTCTCCAGGCAGAGGGACCCCAATCCTGACTCTGGTTCTCCTTACAAAGGGGCTGGGCTAGGACTGTGCCTCTTCTAGTAGCAAGTCCCTAAGAAAAGAGCCAAGGAAGATGACATATTGAGAAATGCTCTGGATCGCTACTTTGCCGAATTAGATTTATTTTACTTGTGGATCTTGTATAGGTTGCCCACTGCCACTTGCAGGGCCTCTTAGATGTAGAGAAAAACATACCTAAGGCTTTTCTCCTACCAAATTTTGTTTTTTTCTTACGTTAACTTATGTACTGTCATGGGAAGAGGTTTGTGAGATATTAAGTGAATAAAAAATAAAACAAGTTTTATGTATTGCAGAACAGCATATAATGTAATGCCATCTTTGGGGGAAAATGTTTCTCTACAGCTAAGCTAATGTCTGGAAAGAAAACTACTGACCAACTTGATGGAGTGAGAATGGAGAAGAGCTTACACTTTTTATTTTATTCACTTTGATATTATTTAATCATTTTAAGACTTTTTAACAATGTATTAATTGAATACCTTTAAGTATACCTCACAGGGCATTAGTTTTGTTCTCTCTAAAGGTCAATTACCGCTATGAAAGAAAGTATGGGATTTGTCTATAGCCGACTCTCTGCTGGTCTCTGGACAAAACAAGGAATGTACAACCGCTGCTCTCAAGACTAGGAGGGGGAGAGGGAGGGGGAGGGGGAGGNAGGGGAGGGGGAGGGGAGTGTGCTGCAGGCAGCCACAAACGTGAGTAAAGAAGTGCTCCAAAACGGAGAAGGGTATGAAGAGTTCAAGAAGCTGTGTAGCCCCCCCCACACACCTGCTTGGAGCACAACATGGCTCAGTGGCCAGAGCTAGATAACATTCACAGGTAGCATGGAGCTAGCTTAATAGAAGTTGACTGCCAGGCTTAGAAGTTTCATCTGTGTTTTCAAGGCAATTTGTGGGTGAGGAAGAGGGCACTGATGGTCCTTTGGAAAGGGTCAACAAAATAAAAGCCTTGGTTCATTGTTTGCTGAGTCATCGTTCCCAGGTTTTCCTTGTTACCAGGTAGGATCTTTCTCATACTGCCTTGGAATGTCACAATTTCAGACTCAACCAGTCAGATGGCTAGGCATGCTTGAGAAACACTTGGGGACACCCGTCTCTCTTGGCAGCAAAGTACACAGTGTTGCACCTTAGATTGTCCTCCCTGGGATGTAATGATGTTCTGTATCGGAAACATGGCCTTGCCGATGTAGATAGATGTGAAGACTATCTATGTTTGTCACCACTTTGATTCTCAGTTTCATGAACTAATCCAACTGTGTAGGAAGGTATCTTCTAACTTTCTGGATTTCATTCTATATTGAAAGACAAATCCCTCCCCACTTGGAAGAACTTTGCTACTCTCCCCTGCTTGAAATAGGTGCTTCTGAAAATTAAAGTCATGGGCCAGAATGTGATTAAGCCACAGAAAGGCTTTGCAGATGTTTAAAATTTTGATTTCCTTAAATTTTCTATCACTTGGTATGATTTCCAATATGAAAAAGATATTTTCATTTAGATTATAAAAATAAATTCTGGCTGAATATAGAACTACATAATTTACATACTTACACATATCAGATCATCAGAGTAACAAGAAGCTTTGTCATGAAATTTGAATCACAGACACCAAAATCAGATAAAGTGCACATTCTTAAACATACAGTTTTATGGACAAACATCATCACTTCTATGTAATTCCCACCCAGGCCATACAACATAGCATGAAATCATATTGTACGTACTCTTTTGCATCTGTCTTCTTAAACTCAACATTATTTCTGTGAGATGAATCTATATTGCTGTGTGTGTGTATTTCCCTTATTTTTTCACAGTTGTATATTATTCCATTGTTTGGCTATACCACAATTTATTATCCATTTTATGACCAATGGTTGTTTCATATATATAATATTTCATTTCATATATATTTCATTTCATATATATCCTATTAATTCTGTCTATGGAGAATCCTAATATAACCATTTTATTAAATTGATTCCTATGTACTTGATGTTTTTTGAGGTATTATAAATTGTATTTTTATATTTTAGCATCTAATTGTTGTTAGTGTATAGAAATGCAAATGATTGCTATGTTGATCTTGTATTCAATGAACTTGCTAAAATCACATATTGATTTTTTAAGTGTATCTATAGGTTATTTTCAATTATCTACCTACATAATCATGTTTTGTGGTGGTTTTTTGTGAAGAATGAATTTTTTTTCTTTCTTCCCAATTCTTAAGACTATATTTTAATCTTACCCTATTGGGCTGGCTAGGATGTCCTGTATAATGATGAATAACCTTAGTGGTAGCAGAACATTTTTTGTATCGTTTCTGATTTCAGTGGGTATTGTTCAATATTTTACCATTTCAGTATGACGTTTGTTGTGGGGTTTTTTTTCCCCTAAATATCCATAATCAGATAATAGTTGTTCCCTTCTCTTTCTAGTTTACTAGGAAACTTTATAGTGAATGGATTTTTAGTAAATACTTTTTCTGCATCTATTGAGAAAATCATATATTTTTTTCCCTTGACAACATTTGTTGCATTGATTATTTTTCACATGGAAGACCAAGCTTGCATTTCTGAAATAAAACCAGATCTAATTTGGGTCGTATGCATTATCCATTTCATACCTGACTGATTGGATTTGTCACTGTCTTGCTTAGAAGTGTATTATCTGTGTTCAGAGACCAGGCTGGCCTATAATTTCCTTTTCTTTAAAAATGATATTCTTATCAGGTTTTATATCAAGGTTATGCTAGCCTTACAAAATGACTTTCTGTTGTCTTGCAAAAGTCTTCTTTATATTAGTGTTATTGATGCTATTTTTTTTTCTCCTTAAATAGGTATTTGCAAGGATTATCTATGGAAGTCATCAGGACTTGGAATTCTCTTTGTGAGAATTTTAATAATAGATTTAAGTCTTATAATAATGTAAATCCTTCCAGATTTCCTATATCTTCTTTGTCTGGTGATAAGTAATATTTTTCAAGGAGTTTAAACATTTCATCTAAATCATCAAATTAAATTAGTCATAGTATATAGGTTACATTTTGGTATCTATAGGGTCAGTAGTGATATGCCCATTTTTATCTCTGATATTCTTTTGTGCCTTCTTTCCTTTTTTTCTTGATCAGTCTTACTATCAATTTTATATATCTTTTCAAAAACCCAACTTTTACTATTGTTGATTATTTTCCCTCTGGTGTGCATTTATTTTGAATTTTTTTGATTTTTGTTCTTGTCTTTATAATTTCAGCTCTTTTACCTTCTTCGAGATTACTTTGCAATTCTTTTTCTCCTCACCCTCCTCTCCCCTCCCACTAGTAACCTCTATTCTACTTTCTGTGTCTATGAATTTTCAAGAAAGCCTTCCCTGGCTATCCTATCTAAAGTCACAGCCCTCTCTACTCTGTCACCTTGCTCTATTTTATGTTCTTCATAGCACTTATTGCTGTCTGACCTTATATTATGTTTCTATTGATTTGTTTCTAGGCTGTCTCCATTAGAATTTAAATTCTATTAGGGCAAAGAGTTTATCTTGTTCAGTCCAATGCTTACAACAGAACCTTAACACAAAGAAGGAGCTTGATAACTATTGGATGAAAAAATAAATCCATGATAATGACCACACAGGAATGTCATCTTCTAGGACAAAGGTTCAGTTGGATTATTCATAAATGAGGTAAAAACCCTCACATATATGGATATATATTTTGAATTCACTAGGAAAAGCTTGCTATGCAGTTAGAAACAAATTAATGAATAACTTGTGTATTAAAAACTGGAGAGATATTTACAGAAATTATATAAAAATTGGGAACCTAAAGAAGCTTTTATAAATGTAATGAATTTTTGAAAACCTTTTCAACGCTTTATATTTTATTAAAAATTAAAGATGTAAAAATCCTGAACAATGATCTGTAATCATAAGAAAGCAATGACATTAAAAATGTAATACCCAGGGCCAGCCGAGTGGCGCGATGGTTAAGAACTGGCTTGGGACGCCAGAGGGCCCCAGTTCGGATCCCACATATGAGGGCCAGTGACACTGCCCT